GGGGGGGGGGGGGGGGGGGGGGTTAAGAGTTAGTTAAATGACCACTATTCAACTTTGAGCCGAGTTGGATTTGAACTTGACAAAGGTCTGAGAAGGTGATTTCGTTTGACCATTTACTCCGCAATCACTGCGAATCTTCCTCGATTTGAAGGCAGTTTCAGCTTATGAAATGTGATTGCCTTTCATGTAAAGGCTTATGAACTAAGATTCGAGACAGGTAGATACAAAAACAGTGGAAAGAAGATGAAACTGGTGAAATCTAGAGGGATCTACTTCAGCTGAACTTGAATGCTTCAGTATATCTGCCTTTTTTTATCCATTTCCTTGTTTCACTTTAACAAGCCTTACAGCAAACTAATGATGGGAACTCTTATTGAAGGCCTTCATTTGAAATTGTACTTCCATTTTGAAGTCACCCTATTTTATCTATTATAGGAGGCCCGCTCAATCAAGTTGGTTGTAATCTACTTGGCTTTGGGGTGTCCAGAACGCATTCGTTTCGAGTATGATTACGTAAATGTGGATGGAGGAAGTTCTGGATGTGAGGGCAGTATCACACCAGCTCAAAATCTGAATCCAACCTTCACTGCTCCTCTCTCCAGAGAAGCAATTGCAAATGGCGAGGGTATGACGAATGGACTTCGTCGTTTGCTTCATCTCAGCGCTAGCGAATATCTCAATCTCAAGAGTTTCAATGTAACTGACTTGATTTGAATTTGCTGCATTTTACTTCTTTTTGTTTCAGTTTGGGGGTAGTCTACCTAGGGTGTGATTTAGCAGTAATTTAGTCCTCTATACCCTGGTCTCTACAGTGTAAACATGCATTGCCCAAATAATTATGTTCTTTTGGCTGACACTACCAAGTCCACAAAATCAATAAATCGTCGTTACATGAATGTTCAAAGTAGAATCGTAGGGGTTATAGTCACATTGCCAGTCGGTGCCACTTGGCTTTTGTTCTCTCAAGCTTCGAAATTTAATGGATTGAAGACCTGAAATGCCTGGCCACCTATCTATTTTCAGCATTTTTCTAGGATAATTATTGATATAAAATGTGGCCAGGTAACGTACTATGGGTTTTTAATTAATTTTGGTTTCTATTCTATCACGATGTTTTTCTTCAGTATGCTCATATTTTACAGCAACCTATTCATTTATAGTATACCATGTCCGAAAACACGATGATAGTCAGAATCTTGATTGTATATGGGCAATTTAAAATGGTCACATACTGCTACATTTCTTATTGATTCTGCGATAAAATCCCTCAGATGACAACCGCATGAAATGATTCGTGCACTCTTTCCGAATATTTCAGCAGCCCGCCCGCGCAGTCCCTGCTGCTTCTACCAAACCACCTGATGTTGATGATCCGAAGAAGACTGCCGGCTCATCGATATCTCCAATGAAGGAGCAGACAAAGAACGCTGAACCTGGCTCTTCAATTAATGCATCTGCCTCTCAAGAGTTCGTCACCCCGACGGCACCAATATATGGTCTTGTCTACTACGGCGAGGGAGTATGTTTTTTCCCCTTTCAAATGTTCTATAGGGTGTTAGGTGTTCCTAGCCAATTTCTATTTGTCCATAACTGTTGATTTCACGCTTTGTTATTAGCCCTAGTCAATTAACTCGATAAGGTAGTCCGATAAACTATGGTCAGTCTTTAACTAGTGGAGTGGAAATACGTATCTATTTTTTGCCGAAGAGTATCACGATTACAAAGAACCAGGCAAAATAAAGACCCATTTAATATGAACACAATCGGAAAATTGGGATCATTGGGTAGGTCAGTTGTCTTTTCCTTTAATCAGCCAGAGGACTGTGGTATTTCTGTTAATTAGGCCATTTATTCTCGCATTTTATACTCTATACGTATTGAGAGTCATGTATCCATCTATCACATTTAGACTGTATCCTTTCATATGTAACATTTAGAGGGGTATTCCATAATTAAGCCTTATTTATCCACCCCGCCTCCTACTTGTACAATATAATATATATATATATATATATATATTAAAATTTTTTTGTTTCAGTATAAGTTATTTCAATTCCACATAATTTAGTTGCAACCTTTATTTTGCATACTTTGTTTTTTGCCAATTCGGAGCTCAATTGCTCAAACGTCATTTATGCCCTCAGGGCGCTTATAATGATTATAGCGTTTTGATAAGATGAGTGATAGAGTGCCATAACTGGACTCGATGAATATATTCAGTACCTTTTTGGAAAATTTTATCCTTACAATAATAAATTGCAACTCTTACTTTCAAGTGTGCTCTATATTACCCTGTCTGCTCTAATTAAGCTCATTAGTTATTACAAGTTTTCAGTGTTTGTAATTGAATTGACAATTTTGCTGATATGCATGGTGCGTTTTTTCCTAATTTTTTTCTATAGAAAAATTTTAAGTTTTCGTACTTTTATTTACGAATAAGTGCATGCTTTTCGACAGAGGTAGTTGCAGGAATGCCAACGTAAATCCATCTTCATTTGCTGATTTTATGGGTACAAAAAATCCCTGTGCTCTAGTTGCCCTTTATTGATTTCGGAAAGTTGTGTGGTTCTCGAATCTATGTGGCTAACGTTTGGAAGTACTCTCTGAGCGATTAAGACGCCATAAAGTTGACCAAACCAGCTGCTCAGGTGCGAAAGATGGTGCTATATCATTATCCATCTTCATGCTCACTTTGGTATAGAGATTGCATGGTTATTTGTTCAATAATATTGCCCTTGGGGGTTTAAGGATTTGATTTTGCGAGTACTTGTGTACCATCAGAATTCTAGGCAAAACATAGGCTTCAATGAATTCCTTTTTTTGTTAAATGGAGAATCTCTATGAGTTATTTTGTTATTCATCTATCATATTCATTACTTAGTATTCCTATACTCGGGAGTAATAAGTACACGCCTTGTTTAATTTATGTGTCCCAATTTCATTTTTCATTTTTATACCACCTAATTTCTCATTTAGCTCCATTAGCGAACAAGAGTTGTCCGTTTTCCAAAAATAGTTCTAATCTGATAATCGCAATGATAATTTTGGTAATAAATAATTTATGATTGGTCTGCTATGATGAGGGATTGATTTGCGCATGTTGGGAATGCGTAAATCTCTTCTTTAATTGAAAGAAAATGCTGATTAACTTCATCTTCTCTGTTTTTTTCTTCATAAGCTGTGGCCAAGGTCACGTTTCTCTTATCGATAAGTTCTTCTATTATTATGGTCCTCGTTCGCTTGAGAGAAGAAAACAGGAGGAAGGAGTTGGGCTCAATTACGGTGATTGCAAACTTTTCTTTAGTTCTTTATTTGTTTTAAGTCGTACCTTCAAATTTTATCCGATTAGGTATTTAACCCCCCGTCCGATTCTGATGCGTGACTTGTTTTCTTTATGATGATTCCTTTCATGCCAATCTCAATCATCTTGGTTAATATATCAATGGTTTGAAGCATACTAGCCAACACGGCAGTGGGGGACTGGTACTTGTGATAGTGCTGATCTTCCTAAATACTATCAAGTCAATGGGAAATACGCTGAAAGTATCTACTTTTAAATAACCAGAGAAAAATCATATACTTTATATGGTAGTTCGTTAATCTAAAAGTGGATGATGTAAAACAGTATCAATTCAGTGGTTCATTTTTCATTAGTGAACTCCGGCTCACTGCCACTGGCTGGTAGCGTAGGCTTAATCATATTGGCTGTCAAGCTAAAACTTCGAGATTATCGTCTACAATTGTTGGAAGGCGGACTCTATTTACGATTGAGATCCTCGCGTCAATCTTTAAAATTGCCATTAGTTGGCGGGGGTTCGGGAGACATTTTTGAGAGTTGAGTAAGAAACATGGAGTCTGTCAGCAAGTATAATGGATTGAGCTAGACATAACTACGCAGAAAAAGATGTTGAAAGAGGTGAAATGATACAGATATAAACCTAATTGTCGCTTAATATTTGAGACTACCACAAATAAGAGCAGGTTGATCTTGATTGTCGTACGAGCATTCACCTCTGTGTGGTGGTCTTGGTTCCAAACCCGTGCTTTCTAATTTACAAAGTCTGCTAGTGATCACATGCTTAACCAATTCCAAAATGCAATCCTCAATTGGTGTCTGGGCTCTGAGATAATGATCGTTATCTAATGTACTTTTTTATGTAACTTCAGAAAAATACGAAACGTAAGTTCGCAGTTGCTCGAAATTTGGATATGGTAGGCCCAGCAAAGGTTCCCGCGTCTGATCCTCCCCCTTCGACTTCGTCAAATCAAGTCGAAACCATCTCATCCTTAGAATCTCCTACTAAAATCGCTGAGGCTGTTGTAGCCGCCGCTGCGCCTCATATTCGTTCAGAGACCTCTCAACCACTTCCAGAACAACCAGCCACTTCTTTAGACGCTCTGCGTCTTTTCAATCAAAATCAGGCCCGACGCTATCGGGAGAGGTTGACAGCTGTGCGAAAGCAGAAAGCACTTGCGCGAGCACAGGCTCAAAGAGTGGTGCCTGCATACAAGGTCCTTCCTCATGTGGAAGAGAAGGAGCAGACTCCAATTGTGGTAGGCTTCTACATCGACTGGATCCTTTTTCTTATTCTTGACCATCTTAAAGCGGATTATTTTACCAATATGCTCTTAGCAATGCACCAAACGAGGTTTAAGAGATGTGTTAGTTGAGATTGAAGTTAGATCATCGAAATAATTTTGTTTGAGCCATATTCTTGTTTCTTTTTTTTAACTAGCGTATTTTTTGTTCACTTTCCTCAATGCTTTAGCGTTAAAATTTCATAATTTGAGTATTAAATTCCTGATTAATTTCAAGTTGGCGGTGTTAAGAACTCACTACTTCATTCAATATCAGCAAACAGTTTCAACATATCTGCAAATGGAGGAGGAGAATGGAAGAGAGAGAAACAAATTCAAGGACGTTATAGCTCACATGAACGGTAGTATCCAGGCATCTCTGACAAAAGCATGCGGTGCAAAAAAAGATTATAACTGAATGTTATTTTAATTAGAAATGAGAAGGAAATATAAAATAAATGTAATTTTAAAGCTGCTTGGAACCGTGTAGGTAAAATGGCCATACTGCACGTTAATGCCTCAAATAAAAGTACAACTTGAGATAAAATTAGCGTGTAGGTGTTGAGCCCCATATTTACTGCATTTACTCTATGCTCAATTACAAATTATTGCTGATTTGTTACTGCTTTTCTCTGCTAATTTAAGCCCCGAGTAGGATAAGCTGGTGATAATGTATTTATATTAAATGCTAATTTTTATAATATACTAATGATGGGAGTTGAGTTGAAGTTACAGTCGTTTTGGCTACTTACTTTCAACTAATCAAATAAGTTAATGAAAAGGAATACTCCTCTGTTTCCTAATATGCTAATTCTGGATGCTCTTTTTTGTGAATATCATTTTACAAATCTCATAGTCGTTCATTATGTGCTGTCAGATGTTGCAGTCTCATTAACTTCTTTCTCCGCAGCAATTAGTGTCTTGTTTCTGTCTCTTGTGTTAATGAGGGAGAGAGAGAGAGAGAGAGGGAGACATTGAAAGGTTTCAGAAAGTACGATTTAGTTATTTCCTTTTTCCAAAGCACACGTCCTAATGTGTGTCGGCTCTACATTCGTTCCTCAATTTGGCAGACTCGACACCAGTTTAATAATGCACATCACGGACACCAATTAACCGTGTGAGTGATCTCAGGTCTAATTACTCGCTGCTTCTGTGTTTTGGCGTTGAATTGAACACCAATTTTCGAGGAAACATTGAATTAACAACCCCCCCCCCTTTCCTCCACTTCATTGCTCTTCTTATAAGAACAAAGAAGTCGCAAAAATTTCAATAAAAATGCAAAAGCGTAATCTATTTAATCGGCTTATTGTCTAGAAAATGGTTGCTCTTAAATTTGTGTCTTTGGACTCGGTTAAAGTAGTTTTTATTCAAGGGAGGAAACAACATCTTCCTTCCTCCCTCCCCCCTCTCTCACTCGCAGTGACAGTTCCATTCTCCGGTTGTTTATTCTCCAATGTCTTAGACATTTTGAAAGCACAACACTATTTTATTAACAATGTTTTTAACAACATTTCTCTCTTTGACGGACGTTTCTGAGTTGTCTAAAATGTTAGTTAGAAATGTGTCTCTTCAGGAAAAGCTCCTTCCTTATCAAAAACAATTGGGTCGTTTGTTATTGGTTCTAAGGTTACCTAAATTTGACATTTTTTGTGCATCATTTTTTAACTGTCTACAAGCCATGGGTGGTACAAAACACGAGATCTCGTAGTTTTGGGGCACAATTCTTTTAAACCAACTGGAATATGCTCCCTTTAGCATATATCGCATCCATTCGAGTAAGCAAATTTATGGTTCATCGTCAATTCACTTAAGTATTGTCGATTACCTACTGTATAGTCAATTTTAAACGAGTTTCTACTCAAATCATTTCTCAACATTGTCACCCCTTTCTTGACGGAATTGATTATGAACCCCCCCCCCCTCTCCCAAGCCCTAAAAGTATCTAGGGTGCCTTTATGACAATTAACTTATAAAAGAAAAAAATTGGTGGTTTTTCTAAATTTTTATTGTAGTACCTATCGAATTCATCGTTTTGCACTCATTTCTTAATGACAAGAATTTTTATATTGTTGCTGTTGTGTCCTAAATTACCGTTTCACCACTACAGCTTGCTAATTTGTCTTCAATTTTCTTTCTGATCATGGGATAGCTGTTTTACTACCCTCATTTTACTGCTTCCTCATCTCATTATCACTGATCCGATTTCATTGGCCTTTTTCTCCTTCGAAACCGACATTTGATTGGTTGGAAGATTTGATGGCACTAATGGAAATGGGAAGATTGGGTGAAATAGCGCTTATATTGAACACTTCTAGCTAGTGCAGTATTATTCACCTTGGCTCTTTGAAGCATTCTCGAAGTGTGCCAAGAATGTAATAATGCTAGAATTTTGGTTTGTTTTCCCTAAAATACTACTTTACACATGAAATTTTTTCGGGCAGATATTTTAGTGAGACTTGCTGCAAAGGCGTTGAACCAGTATGCGAAATTTAATTTACAATTCACTTTCATCAACTCCAAGAATATCGAAGGCTCATATCTCAATAGTGGCTTTTCCTCATCAGCTGTGGGCTATATTGGCAGATAGCAAGCAATTTATCAGAAAAATAGCCGAGTTATGAAGAAATGACTTGATTCGTTTTCAATCAAAGTCAAATCCATTAATGATTTACATAAATGTGAACTTTTGTGTACATAGGGAAGGTAATTCCACAACCGGCAGCTAAATCTAATGTCGCGTGTTTGAACTTTGTACCTGCTGGGGGGGGGGGGCAACTGAACTAGGTAGGTGGTTTGAAATGGGGAGCTACGCATGAATAGGATTCTTTTCCCTTTGGTGTGTATATTTCGATTTCAATGTATGTGGGAGCGAGAAGCGCTTCCCCAAGATTTAGATATAAAAAAAGTTTAGTTTTCATAAATCCAATGCTTCACTGAATGGTTTCATTTGTAGCCGGATATTCGCAGATCCTAGAGGCATAACGCTTGAATAATGTAAGGAAGATTGTCAAGGGAAGGACAATTCATTTGAGTTGCTCTAGATTGCCATTGGTACTGGAAAACCCTTCTCCTGAGGTTTAAACTACCCTGAACCTCGTATTTTCGTTAGGTTACACGAAATGATTCACGTGTTTTCGGTCCATTTATGTTATTGGCACTCTTAATTCATTCAACTTCGTATTGAATGATTGCGCCACCTTCTGCAGAAGCCGGCGCTCTATTCGCGCGCTCCCCTCTGGCTTAGTTTTAGCATAAAAGCAGCTTGATTTCTAGTTGCCTGTTTGCTTGTGACATATTTTGGAGCTGTGTGTGTGTGAGATATGGGAGTGAAGATTAACTCCAAAGTATTCATGTTTAATGCAGAATCGTTTGATATGATATGGAAATTATATATTCCGGTATTCTCCTAAAAGCTTTTGATGCACTTAATGACCATACACATACTCTTAGGCCATTCATGAACATACAGGCAATCGCCTTACTTTGCTGTAGTCAATATCGTACTTTTAGGCTCTATTCATTTATGTCATCGTTTATCAAGTTCCTTTTTCCGCGTGAGTTCACTTCTCAATGTACTTTTACATTTTTACGTCCGTTTTACTTCGTTTTGAGAACTTGATTAAGCACCTACTTATGCACCATTTTGGTTTATGTTTTTTTTTCAATTTTAAGTGTTGCTTGATCAGAAACCATGAAATCTCTCATTTTTTGCGTTTTAAATGACCTTATTCCAGGGCTTTTGCTTGAAAAATCATCGATAGTGACTCTTCCGACTCTACACATTTTCATCTTGACATGCGTTGATGGCTGTTCACGCGTAAAATGGTGGTTACCCAAACAGACTTCTCAAATTGCAAGAAACCAAATTAATCTTTTAATTGACTTAATTAAATCTTATTGAATTTGGCGGGCTTTATTTTGATTTGAGTAGTAGCTCACTGACCAACTTACTTTTTAAATAGTCGAGGAGTGCATTGATTTTAGAGTGATTTTATTACCGACTTCTTTTCCGCAAATCAACGGCGTTGGTTAGCTTGAGCCTTCCCTTATAAGGTCAGGTCAAGATGCCATTTTTGCACATTCTGCTATTTTTAAGTCGACGATTTGTTAAGCGCTCCAAGAATGATCATTTCATCAAACTTGTTTTTTCGTCCATCTGTTGTTGCAAGCGTCAGACTTTTAAAATCTTGACTAAATAAACTAGCCTTGTGAGTGAAATTTTATTATTTAATATTGTTGATTCATTTAGATGCGCTGAAATGTTATATGCTTGCATGTGGAGGTTTTTTTAATCTCTAAAAAATTACGGGTCCTTCCTTCTTCGTGCCCCCCCTTTTTTTTCAACAAAAGTTAACTCCCTAATAGCACTCTACTCCCTTGTGTTATACTCTCATTCTGATTGTTTTGGGCGTAATCTGTTGCCTCTAAAGAAAATCGATCGATGCACCGCCGACTTGAACGGTGCACACATATATACGTGACCATTTTTTCACACTATGTCCTCCACGTATCATCACCTTTTTTTGACTTCCATATTATTATTGTCCCTCGATTTGACGGCATTTAGACAGGTCGGCAAAGAGCCACTTAATTCATGTACCAGTGAATTGATGGCTGCCCGTCAAATGCTTTAGGATATTCTAGTGTGTACCTGTTAGTTAACCAGTTATAGTTAACGAGCCTCGAAATCGCTTATCGATAAGTAATGAATGGAGCACACATCTCTGCTTCAAATGATCTTTCTTATATTTGTTTAAAATTTAATTAGGAAAACAAAACGGAATATTGGAGTGGAAGCAGCCTGGTGAAGTCTTAGAATCATTGAATCGCAGTTCTTTAAATTAGATTACTTTCTTACCATCGTCTCAAACTCAGCGTATTCGCCAACTTTTAAGCATCTGACGATTTCTGATGGAAGTAATTTTGCATTTTTTTGTTTCAATTTTTACAATATCGAAGAATCCTTTTTTTTCTAAATCAGACAGCCCTTGAATTTGGGCAGAATGCATAAATCTTGGCAAATTAAGTCTCCTACTTAACTGAGATTTTGTTGGAGACTGTATGAAGGTGTTGCTCCGTTTGTCACTTCTTGACAATGCCAGAGGTGCCATGGTCGATAGGCAAGTGTTCAATTTATTAACATTGATATCCAGGACTGGTGAACGCGAAGAGCATAATGATTGAGTGTGGTTGTGTTCTAATGATTACTGTCACTTGCATTGTGTTCCTACTTATCATTTGTCCTCAACTCTTCTTCTTATTCTTGGCTACATAGGCGTTTGAATTACTTTACATAAATCATAAACCTCATAAATCTCTACTCCCCTATTGCTTTCCACGCGATCTTTTAACTGTTGGGGGGGGGGGGATTTTCTAATCTTCGCCAAATTATAAGCCTAATGATTAATCATTATTATTATTTTCAATTCAACGGGTTTGCCACTAACTGTCTGTCTCTTTTTTTCCAATTCATATAGTCCAATCAAGATCTAAGTTTACCCTCTGTTATCGATAGTTGCTCGAACACATCTGGAAATGAATCTATTATCTCCCTGCTTAATGCTTTCATGACGAATGATCCACAAGGTCTTGATCAGACTCAACACGATCAGAATCAACAGCAGTTACCTTCCCTTCAAGAGGAAAATCACGAACAGCAAATGGATCAAAAGCCGATTGTGGTTCCATCGGAATTCTATCAATGTACTCAGGCGGACAATATGCAGCCTCATGAGGAGTCCAATTCATCTCTATCGACTTTCATTCGTAATTTGACGGCGGGAGCTCAGGTCTTCACCACCGATACGCCAGTTGAGATTGTGAACTTGGACGATTCTATTCAACGTACATTTGTTCACGCATTATATCCATTTGGATTTTCTCTTATTTTTTTTAATCCTATTCATAATTGTCTTTTTTGTTTCTAGAGAAAATTTGCCGAGATATGATGCGACCACCGGATAGCTCTTCAGTGGACGTTCCAACGCATCAGGTCTACAATGTGATTCCTAATCTCGAGTCGAATGCTCCACCTCTCTCCAATGATGTCTCTCTCTCTGGTGCTTTCATTGCGGCTAATCCGCTCATGTCTCCTCAGATTCACGGTGATGACACTTTGGAGTATCTCCAAAATCAGGTGAGTCAGCAGATACTCGTTTGTTTCATACCCCCTATTGTTATGGTAATCCAACAAATTTCACAATCTATGCGCTTTCCTATTAACCGAATATATTGATAATCAGATTATTGAGGAATTTTTATTCCGTTCAGTAATTTGACATGTATAGTATATGGACTCATGCCAATTGTAGCATCGTTCCCAACCATGTGTAAGTGGAAAAATAAATTTAAATGCATATATATATATATATATATGTGTGTGTGTGTTTGTGTGTGTGTGTGTGCGTGTGTGTGTGTGTGTGTTGAGTGGGTGTGTGTGTGTGTGTGAGTGGGTGTGTGTGTGTGTGTGTGCGTTTATGCGGATTCATTAATTTTAGCAAAAACACTTTGTGCCTCAGGAAAAGTCCATGTAGAAAACTGCTTGTTCAAACAATTTTTTTTCTACAAACGAAGTTCAACAGCTTATATAGGAGTGATAAAGTGATATTGCGATCGTGGTAATCTATTTTTAGGTTCACCTTTGGAGTAAGAATCTGACGACACTAACAATCCATTGAATTATTTACGCAATTGAACTTCCTTCCATTCCCACGCTTTTATTAATCACTTTTTTACGATTTTCATTGTTATATATGGGGATAATTTATTGTATTGAGAGTTTATGATCACTCGACTTTGTCCACTCTCCCTCTTCTCCCCCCCCCCCCCCCCCCCCCCCCCCCCCCTTCTCACTCTCTCCAATGAGTAGTTAGCCATGTGACGGTGGCTGCTATTATCCCACCATCTCCCCCCCCCCTCCTCTCATTTTATGTCATGCCCTCCCTACCTGATGCAATGAGAAGAATAGCTTATATTGCTTCTCCTTTTCCTCTTACCAATGAATCCGGAGCTCATTGTAACATTAAGCAGCTGCAGTATGCCCAAGTTGAACTGCCTGCCATGATTCCACTGAGTTGGACTGCTTTGTGATGCAATATAAAAGCTTTTCTCAAATCTGGACGAAGGCGAGTGAGTGAGGACAAGTGGTGTGCTGGATGTAAGAGGTAGGGTAATGTGTATCTGCAAAGTTTGCTTTTACATGTTGCGGTAACAGGGGAGTGGGAGCGAAAGAGGTTCAAGTGGCTGGAGGAATGTGTGTGATGGAAGTGGCAGATATGGCACATATGCCGATAGGTGTTTATATGGACGCGAAAATGTACTTTTATGTAAAACAGCGGCGCTTTTGATGGAAGACGGGAATTATTGCACATAAATCTTAATCCACATTGGGCGAATGTGCCTAAGATTATTCAGTTACGCATTTGGGATTGAGCTTATCTGAAAAATAGGCGTTGTTCGACGCACTTCGGAAATTGACAGACTGGGTAATTTACTACCTCAGTTACTCGAATGCAAAAGGAGAATTTTGATTTCGGGAAAATTTTGTTCACTACTTAAGGAGGCAAATTCTAGAGTATGGGTGGGAGAAGGCGAAAAGTGTACCTTTGAGAAATGTCGGAGTTGTATTAACACAACCTTGCTTACCTTCCCCACCCCTTTGGAGTATACCATTACAAAATTCTACCAGAAGCGGAGGAGAATGCAGTGCTTTATTTTTCTTTCAAATGGAATTCAACGCCTAAATTCGATTCGCCATTCGCGATTGTCATTGTTACTAGGACGACAATTTTCGACAGACTGCTACACTTCAATTAATCGCAATATGCTCGACGTTTTTTCTTGTCGTCTATCTCCAGCTTGCACCAGGTGGGGAAGGAGCGGGGTGGGGTGGTATTTGCAGGTGGTTGCAAAAGTGAAACTGGGAGAAAAAACTTCTATAGGGTGGTGTAGTTAGTTTCAACATGCGATGCAATCTCTCTCTCGCCCTCAACCTTGTCAACTGCCGATCAAAACGGTCGGCAAAGTAGTAGGAATGGTTCTTTTATACAAATTACCGACTTTGAGCAATTTATTTTTCAACTACCAGTAGTAATTTTGCTGTTGATGAGGGAATATTGAAGCTTCCCAAAAATTAGATTCACCTACCGATTTAATATGTTGGTTCGCACTTAATTGCTGTGGCAAATGAAAAGCTCATTTACTTTCCCTTATTGCACTTTCATAATTTCTCTTTAAGTAAGATACCACCTCTTCACCTTTTTCTGTTTACTTTCGTTTTCGTCTCCATTGCTGATGTTAAATTTTCCCTGTTCAATTCGACTTTTTCTCATTTCCCACAACAATTGCACTCTTATTTAATTACTAACCATCTTTGGGGATTGAATTTGCTTTGATGCCTCCCATAAATCTACACTTGGCTATTAATAATCTGCTCTTTATTATGTGGGTTTTGAAGAAGCCACCAGGACAAATGGATTGATTTCCATTTTACATCTATTTGATTTATATCTCAACCGGGGTGTGTCTTATGCTTCTTTAAGTGCCTAAAGATTGCGCAACGTATGCTCATATCGCAGTTGGAGTAAACAGAAGGCTGTCCTTGTAACTGTTTAAGGGTGCAAAGTTGCGCGATTGAAACTCATGAGATTTCAAGAAGTCCATCTTCTATTGCGCCTTGAAGGTGGTTTAATATGAGACCTCAAGACCAAATTTAGACGATTTGGCTTTCGAAACCGATTTAAGTGCTCATCTCCACAATTTCGGAATAAATATTCCACTTTAGTTGATAATCCCTAACCAAACTGATCAATCGAATTTTTAGCAGTTATGAATCGAATTAGTGAAGATGAATAATTTTTTGGCATATCTTTTGTTGGGAAATTGAAACGAATTCTTAGCTCTACCTGGGTTCTGTTTTACTAGACTCCTTTAGATGAGCCTCCACATATGATCCTCTCGCAATACGTTCTGATCTCATTTTTTACACTTTTTTAGCCCCAACCGCTCCACAACGTGTCTGGCGTCTATATGGATCATGGAACTTAGATAACTTTCCGAAGATTTCAAAAGTTCAGTGGTGTGTATCGGAAGCAGAATTGCGAATAAGTGTGGTGAACAGCTTTCTTAATATCGATTGTCTTTCTCTTTTTATCGTTTTTTTTTCTATAAAATTATGTTGTTGTCCAATCGTTGATTTTACAGTAAAGAGCCAATATCTATGGGAAAGATTTGATTGCCTAATTAGGGGCAATTCGTTAGAGTTCACAGTGAATGTTTCTAATGAGCTATGCCCTGTTTTATTATTTAATTCACCTAAATTTGGTTCATGTAAAATGCCTATAAATTTTAGACGGCTTTGCTATTTGTTGCAACAGATTCTATGAAAAATGAGGATCGTTAACATGGATGCGCATGAGAAGGTAGTTGTTAAACGGTGAATTTTGGTCTTTTCAGAACTAGGGAAATGCAAGAATGAACCCTCTTCTTATGAGTAAAATGACAACTTAAGTTAAATATTTATATCAAATAGAAGGCCTTTTTTGATAGTTATTATTAGCCCTTTAGTTGATTTCTGGCTTCACAGAGATGAAGGAACATCAAAGTGAAAAAAAGTAGAGAGGGGGTGGGGGAGGTACAGAAGAGTGTTTCAAAGATGTAAAAGAGGCAGACACAAAGGTAGAAGAAAGGTGAAGTGAGTACTGTGAAAATAGTCGAATGTGACATACAGTGGGGTGATGGCTGTTTGAAGTGAGAGGTCAATTACCGGTTAACAGACTTTTTGCCATATGAGTGTACGTTGCCCGCGTGGAGGTAAGTCTATCGCACACCCCACTTAAGCTAAATATAACCTTTATATGTCGGGTTTTATGGACTTCGATCGTAATCATTAGTCAATATTTACTTACCGGCAGTTATTATTAAGAAGCCAACTGACAAAAATAACTGTCCTTCAACGACGTCTTACAAATCATGTGATATGCTTTTAATTGCTCTTGAAAGTGTCAACTTCTCATCTCACTATAAGTTTCGAGGCCAGATGTCTGAGCGCAAAGCTGGTTCTCTATCACTGCAGAGGTCAGGTTTATTTGAGCACCATCAGAAATTTCCCAACAATATTTAAGTTCGCATACTTTTTAGGAAGTCACAAGTGTTTTGAACAATTCGGATATGCCTGGTCGTTTGAATTTGGAGAAAAAAAAATGTATTACCCCAAGGTGGACTTTCTCATTTTGAAAAAAATAGCAAATGCAAATAAATGATTCGATTGAGTGAATTTTCAATCACTTCGTAATTGGGAAAGAAAAATGATTGACATTAATTGTTAATGGGCCTGGGTGGTTAATAAAAATAGCTTAGTTAAATTGTTTTATTTGACGTGGAATAGCTATCAACACATAATTCAATACGTCAACACAAAGTGATGAATAATTTATTAAGCTGACATTCTGCCCTAGTCTCCCTATAGGGAAAACAAATCAGTTAATTTTCTTTTTTTTTTTGCGAACAAGCAAGATATATGAGGTTCTAGGTAAAGCTGGCTTTATGCATAGAGATGCCATTGGCAGAAGAGTCTGACGGTGATTCCCTTACTAAATTCTGAAAATCTCCATAGTAGTAGATTTCATTTTGAAGTGGTAAGAGATTCCTCTTTTTTACGGAAGACTTATAACAGCAACAAGTAACTTAAGAACACAAACACTTGTATATACAGAAAAGCGATTAACGATTATTTGGTGTTCACTAAATACACCCTCCTTCCCACATTGGCTCCTTTTTGGTCTTTCACTTCAATCCTCACTTCAATTTAAAGCGTTGTAGAACTCTGAAGTATTACTAAATTATGAAGCTATATGTATCGTTAGCCATACTAGTGTTTATTGTTCATACTTACTATTTTACTGCATTCAATTCGGTAGGGTGGACTCAAGATATGGGAGGCGTTTTATTTATTTATATCAAATGGCAGGCGTTTTGATACTTATCATTAACTCCTTAACTGGCTTTGGGCTTAACAGAGGGGAACACCAATGTGAATAAAAGTCGAGAGGGAGAGGGAATAGAAGAGTGATTCGCAGATGCAAAAGAGGCAGACAAAGGTAGAAAAAAGGTGAGGTGAGTATTGGGGAAGTAGTTGAATACGACATACAGTGGGGTGATGGTAGTTTGAAGTAAGATGTCAGCTGCCAGTTAATAGACTTTTTGGCGTATGAGTATACGTTGTCCAGTGTGCACCACGTGGAGGTAAATCTATCGCACACTCCAGATATGGGAGGTATTGTTGTCTGCTGAAGTGACAATTACTGGACGCTGACCAAGTGCTAGTTTCCACAATAAATTGCTCTTAAATGGAAAAGACGCTAGTAGCCCAATCCAACCTTTTAGCTCAATGAGCTTTAATTCTGCAATCTGATGATTTCAAAATGGCATATGAAATGAAACATTTGATAGAGCAAATAAATACGTACATTTAAGACAGTTAAACTATGAATGGTATCAATATTTTCCTCTAATTTGATTGGCCACAAAATGAGGGCTTTTATGAAGACAAATGAAATCTTGAATGAATGCGACATCAATGGCTATGTGTATCCTCTATAAATGTATCATATGCCATTAGGATTAAAATGTCCAGTTATTCTGGACAATATTGCAAGAAGACCACGCTCTTGCTTCACGTTCTAATCTATTTTACCATTTTGAGGGCACCGACTTTCCACCAATAATACCAAAATCCG